CCAAACACCAACTCTAACCCTAACCCTAATCCTTACCCTAACCTAACCTAACCATACTCCAAATTTGTTTCTAAACCAATCTTGAAGAAAAAAGTTTTGACGAAATGTCATTCTGAGGTCAGCGAAATAGTTAATGCCCACTACCCTTGCATTTCAAGAGCGTATACTTCATGTAATATATGTCAAAAACTCCTAAATACAAATCTACTGAGGGGGGAGTGGGTTAGAAAAATTATTCAAAACATTTGGTGGACTTAAACCATTTGTGTGAATTTCAGGACAACAAAAGCGTTGTTAAAGCAGTTGCTAAGTGGCAATTAAAGGAACGGGTTCCTTTTGCTTGATATTTAACCACCTTCCACAACTCATAGAAGGAAAATAACGTTTATAAAATTTAGCTAACGAAAATAAAATTTAGCTATTTTGAAAAAATGAATTTTTCCAAAAATGAAGGTATAAGACCACCTTAACACTAACCCCAAACCCTAACTCCTAACCACTAACCCTAATCTAACTTTTTAAAATTTTTTGAAAATCTAACTTTTTAATCTTTTTTTTTGCTTTTTTAAAACTTTTTTAAAACTTTTTTAAAAATCTTGAAAATCTACCTACCCCGGCGCGGCCCGGCCTCCCTTTTATTGACATTACATTTATAACAAAAAGTCTTGTCTAATGCTTGTGCTTTTACTATTAACTCTATTGATAAATTCAAAATGTGCCGCGAATTTATTATATTGATAAATTCTGACGTGTTTAAGAATTTACTCGTATACTGTAGTAAATTCAAAGGTGGAGCTCATGTTGCTATTTTTTATCCTTATTAAGTATTCGTATCTCAAGCAGATTGAATCACCTCAAATCAACCCAGAAAAGTCAATTACACATTGTAGTAGTGATAATCAATCTTATTTCTTAATTTAACACAATATTTTAGCATTTTTTGACAATATATATTCTGTAATAGTAAACTAATATAAAAATACAAATATACCCCAACAACGACAGGTGAGCTTGGGATGCCTGTGGTTTATACTCAGTTTTTATAATTTTCGAAAATTGTATTTTTTGTCTTTCACCGAAAATATATCTAGCAATTATTATCAGAAGAATTGAAGGTACTTTCTAGATCACTTAGTTTCAGTTCTTGTTGCCATTTTGTATGTATTTGGTCTTCCTGTATCTTTTTCAAAATGTTTTCTGGACTATTTTGTACGCTTTTACCCAAAACTTATCGAGACAAGTTTTGGGTAAAATTCGACGAATGCCAAGCTGGTTAATTTTACACGTAGAACTATAGAAAATTGCTTTGTTCCTTTGATCTATTCCTTCTTGCTTTCTGGTAAATCTTGTATTTTAAAAGCTCTATAGTTTTTATATTTTTGGCTAAAAACCAGTGATGAAGAGGGGGAAAAACAGGGAAAGAGCAAGGCAGTGCCACAGATCACAGTGCATTATTGCGTCACAATGCACGCGCATTAGCCAATCAAATCGTCTGTTATATCACACTTATAAAGCATCATTCATTCGCTCTTTTATGCACGAAACTTTCTACACTTCATTTTGCGACTGGTTCATTTTAATCGCGACTCATATTACATGTACAGATTCTTACAACTGACCAGTCAAATACCGTAAACATCCGATTATAGCCCCCGAATATAAGCCTCCCGAATATAAGCCCCCCGGGCCCCGTCTATAAGTCCATCACTACACTAACGTTCACACCATTCCTAATAAGCCTACCCGAATATATGCCCCCCGAATATAAGCCCACTACACAGGTATACCAGCATCGTACAATACTCTTGCACTAAAAAAAGTCCACCACATAGTCAAAGCGGTAACTTAACAAAAACATTCAAGCATTGCGCATTTAAATGTTATTATACACTTAATGTCTGCACCCGAGGGAAATAGTTAGTTTTGTTTTCCCGAGAATCTCAATGTTCTTGAGGGAAACAACGAAGTCGAGGGAAACATTGAGATTCGAGGGAAAACAAAACTAACTATTTCCCGAGGGAAAAGACGTTAAGTGTTTTGTTATATAGCGACGAAACAAATATCAACATTGAACGACATTCATACAACAATATTTGTATTTCATGACAAAAACTCTATAGCGTAAACGAGTTTAAAATTAAAAAAACCTACTTAAATGGTTTCAGCAGCATATCCTGTTGCCTGTTATGTATTTTTCTTCTCTTTTACATTCTTTATTTTAACACAAAGCCACGAAAACAGTAGTTTAAATAGTATAAATTTGTGCCGCCATTTTGTTTACTTATGTACGTAGCCGAACGGGGCGGACAACAATTTTTCACTTATTGCCCGGGCGAGATACATTGCATTTATCTAAAGCCACGTGACTACAAATCAGCCAATCACGTTTGGTGTTCACACTAACAAGAAGTATTAATTTTACAAAACACTTGAATGTTCGTCCTGATGGTGTTTTGAGAAAGATCTTAAAATATTGATGACTTCAGAACAGTCTTAATCCTATTGACTATTGGTACTTTGATAAGAACAATGTCTCAATTGTTTTAATATAGTAATATATGTAATGTTACGTTATAATTCTAGGTTTTAGCTATGTGTATTGTAAATGGACCTGAACACCTTTTTGGAGAGTTCATAATTTTTAAATTAAAATTAACATGTCAATGTTTGTTTATCTGAACACGCTTTATTAATTTTTGTTTATTTTCGACTTACCCATAATGTCGTCCATGCATGTATAAGCCCCCCGTATATAAGCCCCCCCCCTGCCCGTGTATAAGCCCATCAAAACACACTCACGAACGGTATAAGCCCAGGGCTTATAATCTGAGGTTTACGGTACTAGCCAGCAAAATTCGAAATAAATACACTTGGAAACCTAACTGAATCACAGAAATCTGCAACTCATTGTTTATTTCAGGTTGTGCTATTCAATACGCAATTGTGCACAAAAATAACGCTTGTTGATTGATCGTAATCACGAAAAGTTGAACCTACTAAGTTTAACTTCTTAAACCTAACAGTAATACCTGACTTCTTGTGCGAAAACCACGTTTTACTAAACTTTATTGCAACACCTTTTGAAATGTTTTCACCCTATATAGTTAAAAAGGTAGCGGTGTAGTTAAAGGTTAGAATCCTGATAGCGTTTCAGCTTGAAGTCTACAGCATACACCTTTTCGAGGTTCGTGATGCCATCTTGCCAAATGAGGCAAACACAATGGTGAAACCCGCATTGCTTCTTCCCAACTGGAATGGCATTGTTAGTCTATTGTGTTGCCCCCACTTCGCAAAATGGCGTCACGAACCCCCAAAAGGGGTATATATTGTTATTAATACATGTTCAATCACGCAAATGCAGACTTCGCTAAATAAGATGACGTACCTTTATTTCATTGCGCATATCCTGTTGCGTTTCTAGGCAGTCCAACGCGTCGTCCTTTTGATGAAATAAATAAAAGAAAATAAGATAAAATAAATAAGGCATGTAATGTACATTAATTCAGCTTTAGCTAATGATCATAATTAGAACTTAGCTTTGACTTGTGACTCCCCTGTGACAACAACGGAAGCCAATTACTGTGGCCCAAGGGTTAGACGTGCTTAAATATATATATGTTATTTACCGGATTGGAGGTCCGTATAGAGAAATATTTCTCTATACGGACCGACCATACCGGTAAATAATATTTTTATTTTTTTTAATTCCTCCTCTGGATTTCCCCAATCACTCCTCCCGCACGCGAATGAAGCTGCCAAATAAAACGTCGTTTCTATCAATGCTATCGGGAAGATAAATATCTTTTGTGAGATAGTAAAATTCGTTTTTACTGTATTTTTCATCGTCTGCAGACATTTTAATGTTTTAAAAAGTAGCCTTTAAACTCGTCTTTAAATTTTGAAAAATAAAAACATTGGCTCTACGGCTTTAAATCTCGCGCGGTCCGTACGGGCTCATACGGACCGCTCACGTAGCCAATCAGATTGCAGAAAAGCGTAAAATATGACTTCGGACCGCAAGAAAAAAATAAAATAAACTATGGAATGATATAACACACAAGAGGAAAGTGACGTAATTAATGAATGAATTAATGCCGAATTAATGAATGAACGAATGAACGAATGAATGAACAAGACGCCTGCTCAGGCGTTCACACTGGCCTTAGCGGTTGGTAAAACAGTAAAATACCATCGCAATATTCTAAAAAATAGGTACGTAGTGCGTACATGTTGCATGCCATCAAAACCATGAAACCTCACGACTCAGAATACTATACAGAAATCATGGCCATCTCCATTGTTTTCTGTGTACGTGCTATTTGTCATGATTTGTCAGTCGGCAAGTACAGTAAACAGAAGCAGTTACCCCCTGGCACTGAACAAAGATACACAGAAGGTCGATTAGAGCATAGTCCAAAACATGGTCTGGAAACTCAGTAAACTTCAAAGCGGTTATAATGAGCTGGGATTTTACGTTGAGCCGTACCTTAAACCATGTACATCCTCTGTTTTAGGTTTATTAATATTTAACTAACATGGTTGAATGACTGAATTGAAACGTCGCTGTTGGATGATTCATTCATTATACTGAAATACAATGTGTTCATAATTGACTGTGCACCGTGCACAAAACTGCATAAACGCAAAACAAAAAGATAAAACAAAGACTTTAGCGGTGTTTCCAAACCATGTTTTGAAAGACTGTAATTAGAGTAAACGCTGCCACGTCCCAACCAGTGCGCACCAAAAAGGCAACCCCCCCCTGGACGTCTATCATTTTGAATATTATCAGGGGGTTAAATGCCTCCCAAAAGCTCACCAGCCAGGACCGTGACGTCAGCATTTTGATGATGAATTACGGTCACGCCAAAATCATTGGAAAACCATAAGAAAAACCAATAAATTGGGCTTCTGTATGACCGACCCTGTGCCCTGGTAATGATGCGCGACCACTTATAACTTTTGGTACAACTGATCTGAAACTTAAAATATTGATTCAATAAGTTTAAGATCAATATATTGTTTGAAAAATAGCTATTATGTCAAAATTAGAAAACTTAAGATTCTCACGCGAATAAGCAATGTTTTTATGAGCGACTGTTCATCGTTAGTTGCCAACGACGGTAATATAAACAAGGTCAAGGCAGGTCAAGTTTGTATCGAAAGCGATTGACTGTTAGATTTTCTTTTATACTATTTTATAACTAAAAAATGTTATTTCCTACAAATTTAGCTTTATTGTAGCTTTAGCAAAGGTATAAAAAAACCTGGAAACGGTGAATTATTATAGATCGAAAATAATTATTAAACTATGATTGAAATTATCGACGTAGAATGCTATGTTTCGTTGTATTAAATTTCAATAGTATATAAATAGTAATACATTTGACATCCGTAAGTACAATTTCTTATGCTGAATCGAACGGTGGTATTTTTATCCTTATTGCGCCATTAGACATTACAAATACAAAGACAAACGTAGTGCGAGTGATTTGTTATAAATAACAATACATACTGCGAGCGATTTGTCAATACAATTTCGCTTGATTTTCAAAGGCCATAAATCGCTAGAATACTGGTGTTCAGTAATACACTTGACATCCGTAAGTACAATTTCTTTATACGCTTTATATCGTTCTCAAAATATAGGAATTGGTTTATAAATCATAGTGAGCATGTGTAATGTGATAGCTAAATTCACTGAGCTATAATATTACAGTAATATTATTATAGCTCAGGGGCTAAATTGCGCAATCCTGAGCCCACGATGCCGCAATGGAAAGTCACACTTGCGACAGCAAAAAAACCCCCGAAAAAATTCCTCGCATTCCAGCGAGGGCAAATTATGACACTGGCTGCGGCCAGTGTAATTAATTAATTAATTAATTAATTAATTAATTAATTAATCAATTAATTAATTAATTAATTAATTAAATTAATTAATTAATTAATTAATTAATTAATTAATTAATTGTAAATATAATACTTTAGGCATTAATTTTTGATTGTCTATTTTAAATATGCCAGCCTAAATTGATCGTGTTTGGGGATTAGATTCATCCATTCATCAAACTATAGAGCGTTTGCACATGACGTCACAGCCGCCATGTTGGTGTTCTAATTCAAAAGAATTTTAATTAAACCGCCAGCAGAAAAATTTTTTGGGATCACTTTAAGGCTTGGTTACCAAGCACTGAGCTATATAAATACAATGGATAATTTGTTATCATTACGTAATACGTATTAGTCCGTATTCCCAAGGCCAAAAAGTCGCTTAGAAAACAATTTTCGTTGGACACATTCGGAGACTACGTCAAAATCACAGAATATATAGATTCTTACGCACCTTTCAAAATTCTGCTTGTTGGCACTTCTATAAACCTGCAGTTTTTCATAAATTTGCGTTTGAATTTCAACAATTGGCGCTCCTCGAAATTCGAAACCCGCCATTTTGTTTCCCTGGAAACTTGATGTAAGATGCATTGAAAAGGTGCTCACTATTGGAAACTTTATGTAATAATATTAAGAGGCAATTTTTTTCAATGTCACGTATTTGCAATG